TCGTTTGAACTACAATTTACATGTTTAATTTAATCGAGCATATTCTGTGGATTTGCTAATTTTGTGCTAAATCGAATAAGGCAACGTCTTCATATCCTTGTGATTAAAATGATATAATGAATATTTTAAAATAGAATATCCAAGTTTTAGAATTATTTTGCATATTTTAATTGATAAATAGATATTTACAAACAAGAATTTTTTGCATATAAAAAGTATATCCAGATTATTACTGTATTAATATATGCTACAGACCAATTTAGACTGGGGTAATCTAAAACTACGCAACTATAAAAGATTTACACTATTATAACTTAGTCCATTGTATCTATAGATTTTTATTGAAGTTTGTTTCATAAATATGAAGTAAAGAAAATCTACAAATATATATTTAGTGACGAAAGTTTTAAATTAAAAATTCGAAAATAATAATAATACATTAATCTTTCTAACTTCTAACTATGAAACTAGAGCCATAACATATATTGGATTGGTTTCTACATTCCTGAATAATAAGAAATTCATATGCTAAAATGTATATTTTACTATATATTTAATGATTACTAGAAAAAAAAACATTTTGTAACCAAAAGAACACAAGAAATAGAAACTAAATGCGTTTGGCAGGTCTTGTTTGACAATTGGAAGTTGAAGAGAAGCTTAAATATTAGATACAACACGATTGCATTTATTTATAATCATACTTTTATTAATTGAAAGGTAATCTTTTAAAATTATTGTGCTTTAAATCCTTCGGAGAAGTAAGTTATAGTACAGTATCAATATTAGTTCTTATTTATTTTATTTTATTTTTGCAAATTGTCAGTGTAAATAGAGATAAAATTTAGAGTAAGTCCAACAATAGTTATTTAAATTAATAATTTTTATTTACATAAGAAAAGCAATTAACATAGTCAAATGCAAATTAAAGTCTTAATTTGCATTTAAAAGTGGCACGATTATTGCCTTTAGAATCCTGCTCAGTGTCCCGCTATTTCTAAGTTAAAATAATTTGAACTGAATATAGACAATTATAGATACATTTTTGATTTAAAGGAAATTTCATTTTAAATGAAATAATCCGGTATTATGCACATATAATTTTGTTTATTGATATATATTTTTTACTAAATTATGTATACGTTTATTTATTATAACAATGAAAAACTCGTATAATTAATTTAAAGAGGTTTTAATTTTGATATGTGTAGTACACTTATTGTTCTTTGGGCTTCTTACGAAAATAATTTATTTAATAACCTTCAAAAATTTTCGCGGCACACCGGTTGAAAATTACTGTAGTAGAGCTTCGATGTTATGTAATTATGATGTGACAATGCCGAAGGGCCTCCCTATACTTCGGCACCACGTGACCGAAGGGTCGACATCGCGTCGGCGAATCCAAAGTGGATCGCAATGACAATTTTCGTCAGGACTGACACCACTGTGTCTTCACGGACAGACACAGAAACCATTGTGTTCTCGCGCAAACGATCGCGTGTGTGAGCAAACGTATTTGGGATGGAGGGAGAGACAGCGCACCGGAAGTGACTTACTCAGAGACGGGTTAACGTAACAACTATTTAATTGGTAACTATAGGCCATACAGGATATAAAATATATCGATTCTAAATATGCTAGCTATTAGAGGTCTTTGCTACAATGGATATTAGATATAGACAATAGACATTAAAATAGATCTAAGATTTCGGTTACAGTTCCGCGGTTCTCGAGAGAGAGAGTTTACATAAGTTGCGCGTGGCGATAAATACCTGGAGTTGAGAAGGTCCACAAGAGTTGTCGTTAAGGTGGTGATCGTCGAGAAAGTTTATCCAAGAAGTTGTCTTTATGGCACAATGTTCTGCAATATCCAAAGTGAGTAGGTGATATCCGAGTGGGCACTGACAGTTAGTTGTGGGAGGGATTTCGGGATGATCGTACTCCTCGAAGAACGGGCGACGACTGCCTCACTTTGTTGTTTTGTTTTCAGGTTGTATTGTTGAAACGGAGATATTAGGTCGAAAGGTGGTGAGAAAGCATCGTTAATAAGTCTTAACAGATGTTTAGCTCCCATGTTTAAAAGTTGAGTTATTGAACGAAAGTATAGCTACACTGTGAAATGATGAAATGAGATAAACATACTGAAGGTCTGGATTCGGATCCTTACAATGATATATATTAAGAACTTTTTTAAATATTGAAAACTATAATCTAAAAATAAAAGTTTCAGATGAAAAATATGAAAGTAAAATTTGCTTTCATAATGATTTTTTCGCGTATAAAATCCATTGTTTAATATTATTAATGCCAAAACCTCTGAACAACGACCACTGATGACAACAATGGTCGTCGTTTAGAGTTCGACTGTATATGAAATTTCTTAGTAAATTAAATTATAGTGAATGTTGCGTAATTTATAAAACATTTTACATATTATTCTTTAATTTATCTATAATTAATCTCATTTTAATAATAATAATAATAATACATTAACATAGAATAAAATTTTGTTTTTATAAGTTTATAAAATCTATTTAAACTTGTTTTAATAGAAATAAGTTAGTTCTATATAGAAAATAATGAAATATATAATTATTTTAGAGTAACTTTATGATCATATTTAACGCATTGATTATCAAGTCACTATATTGTTGTTATACGAAAATATTACTCACAAAACAGAAGATTTAAAATATCAAAACATTAATTTTATAAGCCTTAAATCTCTTTTCTAAATTGATGTTGTTCACTTAATTTACTTAATTATGAATTATAATTATAATATCATAATTTTAAGCAGATAAAGGTAATTCATTTTGTAAATAATCATAACTTTTCCAGCTACATAATTCCATTTTTAATTTTTTAAATTAAATTCTAAAATTTGTGTGATTTGCATATAAACTATTCCAACTACTTTAAATTATTCTAAAAAATCCTAATAAAAGTTTAATCCTAAATTTAATAAAATCGAAGTTAAAGAAAATTTTCAAAAATTTAAATTTCAATTTTTAAAAATAATAGTAATTTCCTTGTGATTAAAATGATATAATGAATATTTTAAAATAGAATATCCAAGTTTTAGAATTATTTTGCATATTTTAATTGATAAATAGATATTTACAAACAAGAATTTTTTGCATATAAAAAGTATATCCAGATTATTACTGTATTAATATATGCTACAGACCAATTTAGACTGGGGTAATCTAAAACTACGCAACTATAAAAGATTTACACTATTATAACTTAGTCCATTGTATCTATAGATTTTTATTGAAGTTTGTTTCATAAATATGAAGTAAAGAAAATCTACAAATATATATTTAGTGACGAAAGTTTTAAATTAAAAATTCGAAAATAATAATAATACATTAATCTTTCTAACTTCTAACTATGAAACTAGAGCCATAACATATATTGGATTGGTTTCTACATTCCTGAATAATAAGAAATTCATATGCTAAAATGTATATTTTACTATATATTTAATGATTACTAGAAAAAAAAACATTTTGTAACCAAAAGAACACAAGAAATAGAAACTAAATGCGTTTGGCAGGTCTTGTTTGACAATTGGAAGTTGAAGAGAAGCTTAAATATTAGATACAACACGATTGCATTTATTTATAATCATACTTTTATTAATTGAAAGGTAATCTTTTAAAATTATTGTGCTTTAAATCCTTCGGAGAAGTAAGTTATAGTACAGTATCAATATTAGTTCTTATTTATTTTATTTTATTTTTGCAAATTGTCAGTGTAAATAGAGATAAAATTTAGAGTAAGTCGCATAAATTTTCATTATAAGATTTTAATTATTGAAAGTAAGTTAAAACTTTTTATAATAAGTTAGATAACAATCTTTATTTTGAGTGTGTTTGCAATTGGACAAGATGGAATCGTTTCCTTCTACAAACATTTAAATCATAGAAAACTGTTTTCCTTTTAGTTGTTAATGGATAAATACCGGCAATATAGAGCCATTGAACTCTAAACATAACAATTTGCAAGACAGTTAATTGTGTAACATAAACTCTCAAATGCTGCTTCCTGGATTTAAGCAGCTTGTAAGTTCTGCTTCTATTTTGTTGGTAGCAGATGGTCGACATCGTGTAAGGAAGCTGGTGAAAGTTATTGATTGCGGAATTTTGAGTAGACCTCTTAACAGCAAACACTAGATGACGATATTATTTTTAATCTTGAACACGTTTAAGCACAAAAGTTGATTTAGTTGTACGAATTTAATATCTCTTCACGATATTGATTGTCAAATTTGATTTGTTTCCTTATGTTTAAATTACTAAATTTCATGATTAATAGAAGACTTTGAAGATGCTTATGTTGTTCAGAGTATTGTACTTATCGTTTAGTTTTTATTATTATTATTTTTTTTTAAAGTCAATTTGTATAATGATAGAGAATTTTTGAATAATTGAAATGATCTGCAGTAATAAGAACTAAATATAAAAATTTAATGAAATGAGGCACGTAAAACTTTTTATATCTAATAATTATTTTAGTTTAAAAAAATGAAGTAGTTTTGTAATTGTTTTCATTTATTTTTTCATTAATTTTCTATCACGGTATACATGTTCACAACGCACTTCATCTAATGAAAGCATTTGCCAGTTTATTTTAAACTTTAAATATGAAAAATATTATTTCAATTTGAAGAAATAAAATCTTTTTACCACATTTTTTTAATGTACCACCTCGAAATACGCAACACGACAAAGACAAACGAACAAAAAGGGTTCAGAATTATATTAATGTATACATTTACATAACTCACCCCTTGCAAAATACTCATATTTTTCTATAAAAATCCGTGATATTTATTTTCATTTATCGTTCAAAACTTGTTGAATAGTGTGTACGTGCGAAAATCCTAAAGAGGAAAATGGATATTTTGAGTAGATATTACTATAAATATGTCATCGTAACGACGCTGCAATAGAAGAATTTAAAAAATCCATTACTGTAGAAAGAGAAGAGAAAAGAAATAACAAAAATAAAGTCAATTATTATTTAAGACGAGTTTTTATTTAAGTAAGACGTTAATAAAATAAATTCTTCGATATTATTACGTTAAAAAGTACAAATAATAAATTTGATTTAAAAAAATAAACTGTATTTAATGGTTCCCTCGAAATATATTTAATCAAAAGCCAGTTAAGATTACCAACGAGTGGTGGCAAGTGCCTAGTGGTATAGTCAACATAATTTGTCGACATGACAAGCTTCACATTCTACAGGTGATACAAGTAATTTATCACATCACTCAGCCTCTTACATCCACATAATAGACCAAACGGAGCAATGGGTTATTATTAATATAACTTCTGGTGGTTGGTAGTTTACAGGATGTAATAATCAGCTACTGAATTAACTTTCTTCTCTATTCAATCTATTCCTTTTGTTAATACAAACCGAAAGTTCTAAATAAACTTTCCTCTAGGATTGCTTATTGATAAATTAACTACGAAGCGCATTAAAAAGGATTTTAATAAATTAAATCAATTTGTTACATATTTATAAGATTTTTGCATATTTATAAGTTATTCTTTGCTGATAACAAAGTTTCTGGTTGTTGCTGTCTAAACTCTATAGAAGATTGCTGTCTAAACCCTCTTTAGATGTCAGTTAAAAATTAATCCGATATTTAGTTTGCTCAATAAATGCCAGGAAGTGGTGCGTGTGTAGCATTATATAAAGCATAAAATTAACCTCTATTCAAGCTATTATTGTTTTCAAGTTTAAACTTCTCTTTATTGTTATCAAAAATTAAATATTATAATACATTATAGAGAGAATCCGAGATCCATAAGACATTTTTGGGATATTTGCCAATTTTCGGTGGCTTTATGTACTTGTAAATGTCAAATATTTAGAATTTAGTTTACACGAAGGTGTTTCGAATGCTTTATAAATCGTTTGAACTACAATTTACATGTTTAATTTAATCGAGCATATTCTGTGGATTTGCTAATTTTGTGCTAAATCGAATATGGCAACGTCTTCATATTCAATTCAAATTAACAATTATAGAAAATATTCTTATAAGTCATTATTTTTTTTTTTAGTTATTTCAGAGAAAGAATATATGCAATTTCCACTCGTGTTATTTTATTTAATACAAATACTTCTGGTTTATCTTACATTGATAATCACGTATTCCTCTTAGAGGTTGGTGTATTGTTTGAAAAGCCACGTGACAATTATTAATTATTCTAGACACTTTTTAACGCATATTCTTGTCTGTATTTGTACATTAATATACATTTTAATGGCTTTTAATTAATAATTGTGTTTCCATAATAGAAATTATATAAAAACGTCCTACAAACAGTCGTCGATTTAAAGTAACATAAAATAATGAAAAGCAAAAAATTTTAATTAAATTTTAATATGTTTATTTAGTTATTTTCTTACCTTTCAAATAATTTTAATGTTGTTTAATCTCTTTACAGTTATTTATTATATAAAAATAAGTTTAAAAATTGCACAAAACTGAGATTTTTCGATACATTTATCCTGATGTATTGTAGTTTATTTGTATTTTCTGCTATATATGTATATAAATTAGCTGAAAATAATAATTCTATTTTATTAAGTAATAAAATATACCAATTAACTATGAAAATAGTATAAATTTTGTATTTAAAATGCTAAAATATATTTGAATATTATGAAATAGTTCTTACTCACGAAAGAATTTCTATTGTTTTATTGATGTCAACTTAATTTAATATAAATCGTGAGAAATACTTGAACTTTAAGTACACTTAATAGAGTCGGTTACTTTTGAAGTAAAGTAAAAAAAAATGGAATTTGCTTTTATGAATTCATCAAGAACTGTTTTATTATTTTAA